TGGAGTTTCTTATATATTTGTATGTTTACCAGATTATGATGTAAATTATTTCTTACTATGAGTCATGGTCTTACACGTTTAAAATACATTGCTGTATCTCATTTCAGCTATTTCAAAAACTTTAACATGAAGGTTTTATTAGCTGAAATTTACTGGCTGGAGGAGGTCCTTTCTCGGTCTTTTGGAGGAGCACTCCGTGTTATTTAAAGATGCTTGTATAACACAGAGACATTACAAGAAAAAAAGTTACAGGCACATGTCCCTCTTATCTGCAGATGTAAGAGTTCTAGCCAATTGAGTCCAGCAGTATATAAAAAGGATAATATGTTTGGACCAAACAGAGTTTATTCTAGGATTGCCAAGCAGGGGTCAGATTCGTATCCAAAAAAACCAATTCATTTTTATTAGAATAATCAAATAAAGTAAAAAAAAAAACCCCATTTGATTATTCAAACATGACAAAATTAAACTGTCATTCATGAAAAAATTATCAGCAAACTGGAGAAGAAAGAAATTTCCTTAGTCTGAGAAAAGACATATTTGAAAAACCTACAGATACCATTGGGAGCACAGAAGGCTGTCTGTTCTCAGCCACTTCTACCTACCATTGTACTGGGGATCCTAGACCGATTCTAGCATGCAATAAGACCAAAAGAAGAAATAAAAGGCATAGAGACTAGAAAGAAGAAGTAAAACTATTTCTGTTTGCAGATGACATAATCATGTGTGTAAAAATCAACATCAAATGTTGATAATGGTATAGAGCAACTAGAACTCTCATATGTTGCTGTCGTATGTGTTAGATGGTACAACAGTTTGGAAAACAGTTTGACAGGTTTTTGTAAAGTTAAACATACAGCCCATCAGTTCTGCTCCTAGATATTTACCTACAGAAGGATTTGCACCCCAGCCGGGCTCAGTGGCTCAGCCTATAATCCCGCGCCTTTGGGAGGCTGAGGTGAGTGGATTGCCTGAGCCCGCGGGTTCGAGACCCGCCTGGGCAACTTGGTGAGACCTCATCTCTACAATAAATCAAAATGAGCCAAGAGTGGTAGTGCGCGCCTATAGTTCCAACTACTTGGAAGGCTGAGTGGAAGGATTGCAGGCGTCCAGCAGGTCGAGGCTGCAGTGGCCAGGAGTGGCCACTGCACTCCAGTCTGGGCGACAGAGTGAGACTCCAACTCAAAAAAAAAAAAAAAAAAAAAGAAGGACTTGCACCTGAATGTTCATGGCGGCTTTACTTATAGTAGGCTAAAATTAGAAATAGACCAAATGTCCATCAACAGATGACTAGGTAAGCAGATTGTGAGATGGCCACACAGTGGTACACTACTCAACAAAAAACAGATGAACTACTGTTACATTCAAAACATAAATAAACTTGAAAACATGCTGAGTAAAATAAACTTTACACAAAGCATATGTTATTTATGTGAAATTCTAGTTTCTAGAAAGAAGCAGATCAGTGCATGCCTGGACTGGGGGTGACATTAACTTCAGAGGAACACTAGAGTACTTTTTCAAGATAATTGAAAGATTCGTTACATTTGTGGAAACTCATCGTGTTTTATTGCATTTAAATTATACCTCGATATGGTGCTGGGCACTATGGCTTATGCCCATAATCCCAGCACTTTGGGAGGTGGAGGCAAGAGGATTGCCTGAGTCCAGGGGTTCCAGACCAGCCGGGGCCGCTTAGCAATACCTCGTCTCTATGGTATATCAAAAAATTAGCCAGGCATAGTGGCACGCTCCTGCAGTTCCAGCTACTTGGAAAACTGAGATAGAAAGATCACTTCAACCCAGCAGGCCAAGGCTGTGGTAGCCATCAGCATGCCACTGCACTCCAGCATAGGTGACAGAGTGAGACACTGACTCAAAAAAAAAAAATTATCTCAATAAAGTTGATATAAACAAAAGAAAATTTAGACATTTTATTTTAAAACAAGTGAATGAAATCACTATTAGAAAAAAGTCTTGACTTAAAAAATTTCTTAAGAAAGATGAAAAAGTTCTGGAGATGGATGGTAGTGATGACTGCAGAAAAAAAGTGTGTCTGTAATGCCACTCTCTGTATACCTAAAAATGGTTAGAGTGGTAAATATTATGTATGTTTTACCATATCTAAAATGTTTTTTAAAAATAAGAGCTATGAAAACCAAAGAAAAAGTATTTCGGGAAGTAGAAAAATATGTAGGCTTCCGTGACTGCAGGTGGCATTTGCCTTGTGCCCCTCTCAATGACTTTCAAAGTTAGAGACTAAACTATAACAGGCCTCTGTGTAATTTCTTTAATCAAAAGATTTAACTGAATAATCTAACTGTAAATGATAAATGTCTAGTGTGTTAGCCTCTCTTCACAAAATAACAGAAGATAAGGGTTTTGGTTTTGAAACATTTATGTTTTAAGTGATAAACACGTGAATATAAAATAGGAATATTGCCGGTTGCGGTGGCTCATACCTGTAATCTCAGCACTTTGGGAGACCGAGGTGAGAGGATTGCTTGAGCCTAGGGGTTTGAGACGAGTGTGGGCGTCTTGGTGAGAGCTCGTCTCTACAATAAATCAAAAAAATTAGCTGAATATGGTGGCTCGCGCCTGTAGTTCCAGCTACTTGGAAGGCTGAGGCAAAAGGATCGCCTGAACCCAGCAGATCAAGACTGTGGTGGCTGTGAGCATGCCACTACACTCCAGCCTGGGTGACAGAGTGAGACTCAAAAAAAAAAAATAGGAGTATCAATTGGTGCCATGCTGTAATTCAGACAGAATCTCCCAGCAACCTTGATATTTCCATAACTGAATTTGGACTGCAGGATGTGCCTCTGAAACTGCTCTACCTTTTGGTTTTTTCTTGGTGATTGTCTGCTGTTATTTATTTATTTATTGAGTCAGGGTCTTACCTTCTTGTCTAGGCTAGAGTGTAGCTGGAGTGCACTCACAGCTTAACAGCAGCCTTAACCTCCTGAGTTCAGGTGATCCTTCCACCTCAGCCTCCCAAGTAGCTGGGACTGCAGGCATGCACCACCACACCCAGCTAATTTTTTGTTAATTTGTTTGTATTCGAAACTTAACCTAGGTGTAAACTAGATGAGTTTTGCGGGGGGCCAGCCCCTGCAAGTTTTGGGGAGTCCCTTGGAAGATGTGGCGGCGTCGGCGAATCTGTAGGGACAGATATTAAAAGAAAGAAAGAGAAAAAGGGGGAGAAAGAAAGAGACTGGACTCTGTCTATTGCAGAAGCCGATTCTGTAGTAGGGATAGATATCAAAAGAAAGAAAGTGGACAACTTTTCAGTGAAATGAGCAGAAGCCATTTATTGAAAGTTACAGCAGGTATTTATCCCCAAATTTTACACAGGTAGTCTCACAAGTCTTTCACGTGAACACAAAGCCAGGTGCAGGAGGGGCATCCCCCACCCATCAGACGCTTAGGAGGGACAAACCCCAAGATTGTTTTATTGTTCCCTTTGCTAGTTAATGCTTTTCAAAAGCAGTGTAACAATCCTTACTAGCCTAATGATGCTCTGATAATCAATAACTTCTAGAGCTCACACAAAACCCATGATGACTAACTTAAACTTTATTCCCTTTCTATTCTATGCTAATACTACTTACACAATGCTACGGAAACTCTTAGTTGTAGCTTAAGCCAATTCCTAAAGAATGTGGCCCAGTCCAAAGATCACACTGGGCTCTACAGGATGTGGCCCAGTCCAAGGTTCACGGTGGGCCACCTTTTGGAACAATAGACTACAATCTCTTAACAAAATGGCTATTCTAAAGTCCTATGTATCTATTCTAATTTGTATGAAAGTTTCTAATTCCTAATCCTAATATATAAAGCTGATCAGCAGCAGCAAATCTTCTAAAAATAAAACCCAAATATAAACTGTAAATGTACTAAGGCCAAAACCACGATAGTAGAAAATGGAGACAATGAAATTTCTAAAGTTAATTATATTATTAAACCTAAAAATATCATGATTGATTATCCTTGAACTAACATGATTCCTTGATGTAGCATGACCTATTCTACAATACCTTCTATGAATAAAATAAATTCAGTTTCTATAATAGGTAGAAAAAAGACCTTACACTAACTGTAGCTAAAGCTAGCCTAAAAGAATACAGCCCAGTCCAAAGTACGCGCTGGGCTCTCAGGAATGTGGCCCAGCCCAAACTCTGTGCTGGGCCACTCTTGATAATCGTCTATACCATTGAAAAGCTGAAAACAGCTCTCCATAAGTATATACTAATTCTACAAATATTCTTTTAAATCTTATAAAGAAGCTTGTACCGTATAAAAGGCTCCCAAATGTGACCTGAATTTGAATTATATCTAATACCTAAGCGGAAACCACAGTTTATGGAAAACAGGAACAATGGGTTTCTAGAGTGAGCTATGGCTGTCACAGTCACAGAGCCTTCAGCTTAGGCCAGCAGAGTTCCTTTAGGTTGTTTGTGCTGCATAGCCAAAGGGGGAGGAAAATGGGGTCTATGGCTCCTGAACACATCCTAGCGGTCTCGGGGTCCACGGCCCTCCCTGATCCCTAATGCTCAGTGGGCCTCCGTGGCCGGCTCCCAACAGAGTTTGATTATAATTATTTTCGTGTTACTGTTCTTCATTTGCCTGTTTTCATCAGTATAACACTTAGTGTGGTTTCTGATGAGACTGGCATGAGTTTCTCAGACAGAAAGGAAGATGTGAGGATGGCATCCTTTTGGGAGTATGACTGCTTCCTTGCATGGCAATTTGCTCCTGCTTCCCAGGTTTCGAGAATGATAGGCCGTCCGAAGTTTGCATGCTAAAAGCAAAGACACTGGGGAATGTTTCGTCATGAAGTTTAAGTTGAAGAGTCTGTGATTGCCTGGATTACAGGATGGAAAGTGGATGTCTTTACAGTGAAGTAAGCCATGCTTGAAATATAAAAGAAATGGAAGCTCCACATGCACATGTTTTTAGAGGAAAAACCCAGTTTTTCTTTCTGGTTCATTTCGTTCTAGGGAAACACCACCAAGCGAGTGAAGCACAGAGCGTGATTGCCTCGGACAAGGCTGCGGAGATCTCAGTCCATGAGCACAAGCACAGCCGCGGCCACACGCAGCTGCATGCCTTCATCGGTGTCTCCCTTGTGCTGGGCTTCGTCTTCATGCTGCTGGTGGACCAGATCGGCAGCTCCCACACACACTCGGCGGATGGTGAGCATGTGGGTCTCTCTGGGGTGCGGTAAATGTGCAGACGAGAGAGTTGTGAGTGACTGAATTGTGCGGCCCGTAGCAGTGGCCTTCCTCAGGTTCCAGTGTGCATCTGGCTGAGGCAGGAGCTGGAGAGTCACAGCAGTGACACAGGGACCTGTCTTTTGATTTACTACCTGCTTGTCTTAAAACCATCATGTTCAGTTGGGAGCCTGGGGCGGAGGTTCCTGAACTGTTTTTATGCCATGGTGCCACGGGAGTCCAAAGACTGTGGACATTTTGTTGGAATATTGCTTTTAAATATATAAAGTGTAGTACGTAGAATCATAAAAACCAGCAAACCAGTTAGAGTGAGATATAGTTCCCAAAGCATTTTAACAAGTTTGTGGTATAGCGATATATGTCTTCTTTATCTGTGCATTAAGTAATGAGATAATCCACTGCAATCCTACGCAAGTTAGGGTTGAACTTTCTTTTTTGGGACATTAATACACTCACTGTTACTTAGCTTGAGAACATGACATTGTGAAGTAGTCTGTAACAAGGCAGCTTGTGTGTCAGTTTTGACCATCCGGTTGATTTTGGGTTTTTGCTTTGATGATTCCTAGTGTAGAAAATATTGATTCACAAAAGTGTTTTCTTACAAATGTACCTAAACACCTTTGTAGCTTGCTTTCCAAGGAAAGATAAGCTTCTCTCAGGGACAACTAGAATTCTCCAAGACTTTAAAAATTTAACTCGTAGCCAGGCTCGGTGACTCAGTCTGTAATCCCGCGCTTTGGGAGGCTGAGGTGAGTGGATTGCCTGAGCCCGCAGGTTTGAGACCTGCCTGGGCAACTTGGTGAGACCTCATCTCTACAATAAATCAAAAACTAGCTGGGGTGGTAGCGCGCGCCTGTAGTTCCAGCTACTTGGAAGGCTGAGGCGAAAGAATCACCAGAACCCAGCAGGTCAAGGCTGCAGTGGCCAGGAGCGGCCACTGCACTCCAGTCTGGGTGACAGAGTGAGACTCCAACTCAAAAAAAAAAAAAAAAAAAATTTAACTTGTAATAACGTTTTCTGTAGACCAAGGATTCTTAACCTGGGGTCCACAGAGAAGAACACAGGTAGAATTCAGGGGGTGTCAGTGACTTTAACTTGGAAAAATCCTTTTTATTTTTGCTAACCTCTAACTGAAATTTAGCATTTCCTTTAATTTTGAATTTAGAAAATAAATCACAAGTAACATTAGCACTACCTGTACTTTATTACCAATAGAAATCAGATTATTGTATAGTTGTCGATTTCTTTAAATACTCACTTTCACTCATCACTACTTTAAATCAAAGATGTAGAGAACTGCTTCCACGCTCTGTGATTACAGTTTTCCTGTCTGCAATTTTCCTTTGTAGCTTGCTTTCCAAGGAGAGATAAGCTTCTGTCAAGGACAACTAGAATTCTCCAAGACTTTAAAAATTTAACTCCACTTGTAATAGTGTTTTGTTTGAAGTCTTTATCTTTAGCCAGGTCAATATCTGTTATGGTTTATACTAAATAAAAAAGGATTCTGATGCATGATGCAACTTTGATGGCATGGCAACAGAAATAAATTTGAGAGTTATAAAACTTTTCCAGGGATTTATAGATATCTCTTTTCAAATATGCTGATAGTTTCATAGATAGGAAATGTTGGAAAGCAGCATAAATGTCCTGGTCCCTATGGTGAGACCCATGATGATACTGTCTGGTGCCTGAGCGACTGCTCGGTGGTTGCACAGCTGCTTCCGTGGGCTTCTGCAGACAGGAAAACTGTAATCACACAGCATGGAAGCAGTTCTCTGCGTCCTCAATTTAAAGTAGTGATGAGTGAAAGTGAATATTTAAATCAACAACTGTACAATAATCCGATTTCTATTGGTAATAAAGTATAGGGAGTGCTAATGTTACTTGTGGTTTATTTTCTAAATTCATAATTAAAGGAATGCTAAATTTCAGTTACAGGTTAGTAAGCATAAAAAGGCATTTTTTTCCAAGTTAAAGTCACTGACCCGCCCTGAATACTACCTGTGTTCTTCTCTGTTGACTCCAGGTTAAGAATCCTTGGTCTACAGAAGGACCTGTAGCAAAGCAGGCAAAAGCCATGAACAGATAATCCACAAAAGTATATTAAAATGACCCTTAAGCATATGAAAGGATGTTCAATTTTAGAAGGAGTGCAAATCAAATCTTTACTGATAACACCATTTCTCACCTGTTGGGCAGAAATTCAAAAGCTTGACAGAAGATGAAAATAATAGACACTGAGGGCACCAATAAGGGGGAGGGTTAGGGCTCTAACTACTTATGAGGCACAATGTTCACCATCTGGGGAATGGGCCACCTGAGACCCAGTCCCAATCACTACACAGTACATCATGTAACAATGACTCACGTATACCAGCTGAATCTAAAATAAAAAATTAAAATAAATCCAAAAGCTTAACAGTACACTTGGTTGGCAGAACTGTGTAAAATAGGCACTTATCTGTTGCAGGTGGCAATGCAAAATGGTAAAACACCTGTGAAGAAGAATTTGGCAATATCTAACAAAACTACATACGTATTTACCCTTTGACCCAAAGTCCCACTTCTAGGAATTTGTCTGCTAATACAGCTCCAGTATGAAAATACATATGCACAAGATTATTCAATACCACATTACTTACTATCGGAAAACACTGGAAAATACTTAAATGTGCAGTCATGGAGATGGGCTGGATGAACTAGTGTATGTACACATAATGGAGTACACGTAATGGAGCCACAAAAAGAATAAAGATACCAATATCTGTGAATGAACAGGAAGAAACTTCCAGGAGGTATTGTTCAGTGAAAAAACACCAAGAAATGTAAAAGACCACCTAGCATATACTATGTTTTGTGTGAAAAAGGGGAGATAAGGAACATATGTGTATGGTTGACCCTTGAATCACAGCTTTGAACTGTGTGGTCCACGTATACCCAGACTTTTTCTCAATGGAAGTGACACTGAGTGTGCCCGCCTCTCCTACCTCCCCTTCCACCTTTTCCACCTCTGACACCCCTGACAACCCTGAGGCAGCAAGAACAACCCACCTCTTCCTCCTCAGTCTACTCAGTGTGAAACTACAAAGACAAAGACCTTTATAATGCTCTACTTCCACTTAATAGTAAATATGTCTTCTCTTCCTTAGATTTTTAAAATAACATTTTATTTTCTCTAGCTTATTTTATTCTAAGAAAATAGTATTAATATATATGCCATATAAAATATGTGTTAATAAACTTATGTTATTGTTAAGGCTTCTGGTCAGCAAGTAGGCTATTATCAGTTAAGTTTTGGTGGAGTCAAAAGTTATACACAGATTTTCAACTGTGCAGGGGGTCAGCGTTGCTAACCCTCACGATGTTCAAGGGTCAACAGTATCTTTACAAAAAAGACAGGAAGGATCAGCTAGAAATAAAGACATTGGCTAACTGTATGGCGTGGGGTGAAGAGCATGAGAAAGCATGGGTTTTAGGAGCAGATGAGGTTTTCTCTGAGCAGCCTTGTTGGTACAGTTTTGACTTTTGGAAACATGTTAACATTCTACCTATTCAGAAATAGAATGAAGTCAACATGGATGGGGTACTGACTGAAACAGATGAACTATGTTTCACATGAATAACACAGTCACACTGAAGGGAGTTAAAAAAAAAAAAATTCAAGTAAATGATGAATGTAGTATTTAACCTTCAGTCTTGGTGGAGTTTGTGAAGAACTGTAAACAAATATGGATCTCTTTGTTTTTGTTTTTGCTTTTTATAATATGAGCAAAACAATTCTGAAACGGTTTTAGAGGTATTATAGGATTGAGCAAATGAGTGAGTGGGTTGATGTTGGTGGAGCCAGGGTTCTCAGTATGGAAAAAAGGAACAACATAAGCATGGAGGAAGGCAAGAAAGAACCCTGAGAGTGATGGATGGGAATTGGAGGCGTAGGGGTCATAATTTCTAAAATGTGCCAGGTATATATTTGTTCATGCATATATATGTATGTGTGTGTGTGTGTGTGTGTGTGTGTGTGTGTGTGTATGTATGTATGTGTCCTAGTTCTATCTGCAAATAGAACCTAGAAGTAATGACATCCCAGTACCACGAGCATCCCAGGGCTCTTCAGAGGAATGGCTGATTCCAGAACAGGGCAGGGTGTTACGTACCAGTGAGTTCGGTACATCTAGTGCTCAGAAAAACAAAAGGAGGAGAAAGATGGGAACACGTCACAGGATATAAGAACCAGCTTCTAAGGGCTGCCACGGGCCATGTCAGGGATTATTTGAGCACTAAAGTAGTTAAGAACAGTACTGAGCCATGGCTCACACCTGTAATCCCAGCACTTTAGGAGATGGAGGTGAGAGTATTGCCTGAGTCCAGGGGCTCAAGACCAGCCTGGGCAACTCAGGAAGACCTCATCTCTACAATAAATAAAAAGGGGAGAATCCTAGAAAGGCGAGAACCAGAGAAATTCAGCCCCACATTCTATATATAAACTGTCCACATCTCTGACTGACCCTTGAGGCGTGCTTGTGTGGGCAAACTCAGGTAACTCAGTGGAAGAGAAAAGAACTAAACTGAAATTTGAGCAGCTGCCCAAAAGACAGAGTTTGCAGTTTGAGTCAAACCAAGTTACTTAAAGCAAAACAAAAACATCAACACTATTTGGAGGAATATAACAGAATCCAGACTATTCAGACACATTGACAGTGCTCAGGATATAGTTCAAAATTAACATTACCAGTGAGCAGCAGCTGTCCATCCTGTACCTCTAGACATGATGCCCTGAGAAACAGCATCACCTATGTAGTATTTCATTCAAGAACTCATAGCCTAAGGACACACCAGACAAACCCAAAAGGAAGGTTCATTTTACTAAAAGCAATAAGGGTCCAGGGAGGGAAATGTATTCTCCAAACATGGCGATGTCATACAAGTGAAAGGCAAAGGAAATATTCCAGATTAAAAGAGACTAAAGAGTTATAGCTAAGTGCAATGTGTGATCTTAGACTGGATCCTTATTGGAAAGGAAAGTTGCTCTGAAATGCACTCTTAGACAGTTCACAGAATTAGAACATGCAAGAGAAGTAGAAGAAGTACTGATGTTGAATTTACTGATGCTTACGACTATACTGTGATTATGTAAGAAAATATCCTTTCTCTTAGAAAACATATGTTGGAGTATCTAGGGATGAAGGTTATGATGTGTGCAGCTAGCTTTTAAATGGCCCAGAAACCATGTATGTATAAGAAAGAGCATGAGTGTAAGTGATGAGGCAAAGGGAGCAAAATGTTAGACAGTAGGTCAGTCTGAGTAAAGGGGAGATGGATGTTTTTCTAACTATTCTTGCAAATTTTCTGAAGGTTCAAAGTTATTTACAAATTTAGGTTTTTGAAAATCACAGGATTAAGCTTAAAGCAAAACAGACAGTATCCTAAGTATTAGGAAGATTTTTAATCATCTTGTATTTACTATTCCGTTAAAGATTTTTTTCAGAGACTTAAATAATACTATTATTTAAATAGTATTATTTAAGTCTCTGAAAAAAAATCAACAAGTAAAGGTGATTTAAGAGTAAATAATTTTATTCATGTGCTTTATTCCAAAAGCAGATGAGCAGCACTGTTGGCTGGTATCTGACTCTGGCTATATTACATAATTGTCCACAGTGGCCTCTCAGACATTTTTCTTGTGATTCTTGTCAGTTTCCATTTAAAAATGTGTGGGCCAATAATGCCCTGTAATCCTATACAAAGATGTAAATGTAGCTTGTGTTCCCTAATTCTTCCTCTTGCTTTATCTCTAAAGTCACAGTTCATGCTGGCTTTCATGTGTCTGATGATCTGGCTTTGCCTATTCTTTGCAGGGTTTATGTATTATTAAATATCAGCAAAAGTAAATTCATGTATTAATTTGTTCAATCTTTTCCTATAGATTATAAAAACTGTATTTTAATGTTAAAGCATCTGATTTTTATTCAAGATGCTGCTTCTAGCTAGACCACAAAGTTATGTATAAAGAAAGGTCAAAACAAGCTTATTGACAGTATATTCTGACTGTTCTTCCCAGTTTGGGGTAATATTGAGTATTTGTTGTCTCAGGGTGATTAGGGTCTTTGACTTTCCTTCCTTGCAGCGTTTTCATAAGAAGATACAATGCATTAATAAAAAGTAATGTTACTTTATTTATGTAGCTTTACCATTGTAAACCCTTCCTTCTGTGTGCTAGGCACCTCAGGAATATTCAGTACCTTGTGATTTATTTGACTACCAATCTGTCATTTCACCTGGCATTTTGATGTCCCTATCTTTTAACTCTATTTGATTGTATGTTTCCTATAATAACAGTAATATCTTTTGTAATACAGGTAATACTAACTTTTTTCACCTTCCAACAAGGATTTATTATTAAGCAAGGATTGGGTTGTGCTGTATTACATTCTGTGAGACATGTTAAAAAGAAAGAGATCAAAGTAGGAAAGTGGATTTTTTGTCACTTGCAGTCAGTCTGGGGATGTGCATGGCAAAGGCTCTCTGTGTCTGCAGTGGTCACATGATAGGGCTCTGAAGCTGCATGTGGAGACTGCCTGCATAGAGTACTGGATCTAGCAAGGGGAGGGTTGTTTTGAGCTGGAATTAAGTTTTGATTCTTTCTTGAGGAAGATGATTCTAGAGTTAGACTTTGAATGATATCTAGGTTTGGAGTTGATAAGCCGGAAGCTCAGTGTGTACCAAGAATGCAGGAGGAGGAGATTTGGGGAAAGGAGGATGAGAGTGTTTTGTTGGGCATTAAAGAAGCTGGTTGAACTGGACTGGAGCATGAGAAACACAGTGGAACAGCTTCAGAACCTCCCAACAGAGCAGTCAGACCGTATTTGAGAAGCAGCAAGTTCTTAGTTGATGCATCAGAAGGGTGGTGTTTTCAAAATATAAATCTGATGTGGATGTGAAAGATGGACCAAGTTTGGGAAAATGAGAGTAGGGAGGCTGTTGCCAATTTAGGCTTGAGCTGATGAAAATTGAGGTTAGGATAATGGCAGTACAATGGAGAATGGCAAATGTGACCTACACTAGAGTGAAAGTAAAGTGACAAGAAGCTGGGGAAGAGGAAGAGGTGGATGGTGATGATTTGACTGGTCTGGAAATAAGTGCTCAGAGACCAGAGAGCACTTTCTGTTGAGTGGTAGAGGAAGAGGACTAAGGAGGGAGTGAGGCCGTGGGGGTTGTACATTTCTGGAATTTGTTAAGAGGTGGCTGTATTAAATGAAGAGTGCCCTCTTACCCCCCTTCTTCAGGACAGGAAGCAAAAAGACAGTAGCGAGGAGAGTGGTAATCTACTTTAAGACTTTTCAAACAATTCTTCCACTTCCAGACCAGTGTTGAAACACTTTGTTGCACATTATTTGACACTGTCTTTCTCATTTTCACTTAGATCCAGAAGCAGCAAGGTCTAGCAACTCCAAGGTGACCACCACGCTGGGGCTGGTCGTACATGCTGCAGGTAGGCTCAGATTGTTCATCATCTCACAGAGGAAGGCTTGTTGTTGACATTACAGGGACTGTTCACACTGAATAGTCTTGGCCTGGCCTTTAGGCAGAGGTTCTTAATGCAGTCTTCCAACACAAGCACAAGCCCTGGTGTCCTCAGTGTCAGGGATTTGTGAGCTAAGAATGGTGCCTATATTTTGATGGTTAAGAAAAAAGAATGTTTTGTGGCACATGAAAATGACATAATTTAAATTAATAAAGTTTTATTGGCACAAAGCCATGCTCACATATTTCTGTGTCATCTATGGCAGATTTTGCACAACAGTAGCAGTTGAGTGATTGCACAGGACCAAATAGCCCCCGAAGCCTAAAATATTTACTGTTTGGCTCTTTAAGAAAAAGTTTGTTGGGCAACCCCTTTTGGGCCCCCTCTCACTGTGGGAGCTTTTCTGTCCTCTCAATAAATCCTGCTTAAAAAAAAAAAGGAAAGAAAAAGTTTGTTGACCTCTGCCCTAGAACCCCATCTGGAAAGCACCTTGGCACTTTAGTCTTAAACAGCCCTGTGGCCCAGTTTATCCCCAGAGTGCCAGTTTAAGAAGAGGTGGTCTGTAGTAGAATCTGGAAGTCCCAGCATTGCTGACAGGCACACCTGGGAATCATAACCTAGACCTGGTCCCAGGAGTAGGATTCTGTCAGTGACAGGACGGAAGAAGGTGGTGCACTGTTATCTGGTCCTCTCTAGTGTGACATGCTTTTCGAACAAAATTCACCCATTCAGCCAATATTTAATCATTATGTATAAATCATGTAGGTAGAGTCCTAGTAGCTTTATTTTGTTTCTTTGTCCTTAAGATGAATAGATTCTTCCTTTGAAATCCTTCTTTGATATTTCTCATGTTACAGTTTGATTAACTAATCAGTGGCTTTTTGAGCATTGTACTTTTTTTTTTTTTTTTGAGTTGGAGTCTCACTCCTTTGCCCAGGCTGGAGTGCAGTGAAACGCATGCTCACTGCCACCCCAGCGTCGACCTGCTGGGCTCCAGTGATCCTTCCGCCTCAGCCTTCCAAGTAGCTGGAACTACAGGCGCGCGCTACCACACCCATCTAATTTTTGATTTATTGTAGAGATGAGGTCTCGCCAAGTTGCCCAGGCAGGTCTCGAACCCGCAGGCTCAGGCAATCCACTCACCTCGGCCTCCCAAAGTGCTGGAGTTACAGACAGCCACCAAGCCTGGCCGTGAGCATTGTACTTTTAAATTTAAAATAACAACAACCAAAATAACTAGCATATTGAATACTCTGGGGGCAAAGCTCTTTCCATAGTTTATCTCATTTAATCCTCATGAAAACCCTAAAAAATACGTATGTGATTGAACCCATTTTAAAGATAAGGAGGCTGAAGTTCAGAAAAGTTAAGTAACCTTCCTGGAGTCAAATCCAGCTCTGCCTGACCACACAATCCACACATTCGCCACTACACCGTTGTTGTTTTTGAAATTTACGGCATTTTATGTCTCATTTTTTCCAAATGTAGCTGATGGCGTGGCTCTGGGAGCGGCAGCTTCTACTTCACAGACCAGTGTCCAGTTGATTGTGTTTGTAGCCATCATGCTACATAAGGTACGTGGCATTCGGTGTTAGATTTGATACTGAATATGTTCCATTTTCTCTTGGTCCTTAATGTTTTTCTGGGGTGGGAAAACTTTATAATTTCATAATTGCTTTTTGTTTTGGAGGATTGAGTAAATCTGTACATAACTACTTTGTTACCGTTTTCTTAAACTTTTAGTTGAAAGATTTTAAACTCTATGTGTGTGGTCATATATACAAACTGTTAAGTTCTCTTCAGATTTCTATATTTCATGGTAATTTTTGTTCAAAAGTGGTTTTCTTGGCTGTTTCCCTTTTTCTACTATCCAAAAAACACAAATAGAATGAATCTTCTTAGCTTAGAGCATTAATTCATAAAAGGTACAGCTCAGGCTTGGTAATATGCCTGTTTGTTTTGTATGAGAAATTATAGTCAAATGACATGTACTTCTTGATGTAAAACCAAGTGATGATGAGGGATACTTTTATTTCTAGGCGCCGGCAGCTTTCGGGCTGGTCTCCTTCCTAATGCACGCAGGCCTGGAGCGGAATCGCATCCGAAAGCACTTGCTGGTGTTCGCATTGGCAGCGCCAGTCATGTCCATGGTTACGTACTTAGGACTAAGCAAGGTAATCTGACCCATTCCTGGTTTAGCCAAACAAGTGTCCAGTTCTTTTGTGACCTCTTAGAACTTATGGTCTCTTACACTGAGTTTTTCAACCAAATTGCCCTTTCAAACTATAGACAAAATTAGGAGTAAAAACCTGAACGTGGTAACAATCTTAATTCCAAGTCATCGTCTTCATAAATTTAGCATTTCCTTACTGATTATATTTGAAAACTTCTTCCCTATCAGTTCCAAGAATATTTGCACAAATACTTGATAGCCCATCAATATTGAAAAGAATCAACAGAACCAGCCCTGCTATTTTCACTCGGCAGACACTGAGGTGGCACATGGAGCCTGAGTGGCAGCTGTGTGGTGGTTTCTAGAAGAGGTGGGGCTGAATGCTTTGTTCAGCTAAGACTTGGCTTCCCCAACTGCCAGCTCTGGATCCAGATCACTGTATAGTAAATGCCCATTTCTTCATCATTGGATGGAGCATAGCTTCAGGCCTAAAGTGACACGTGTTGTTTGGCAGCTCAGAGCCTGGACACTTGCGTTTCCAAGTCTTATAGCTCATTCTTTCTGGGCTGCAGTCCTCAGCAACAACCTCTCCGTTTAACCTCAATGTCACCTGGAGGGAAATCTTGGCACTGAACAGACTTGAGGCTGGTTCCTGGCAACTGCTTCCCCTGCCCTCTCTGAAGGTCATCCACTCTTCTGAGTATCAGTGGATTCTGTGTTTGATATGGTGAAAACTGTGCTAAGAAGGGCACATGGAAAATGAGGTGGTTAAGGAAGGTTCTATTCCTGCTCGTCTAGAGTCTGCTGATCTGGACTGCTAGCAATGTGTTACAAAACCCTTTCCACTCACTGAAGAGTCTTATCTTCTTCCCATTGAGTAATATGTCGTTCCTTTTAAAACATGACCCTATCATTTCACTAATCGGTGCTTTTAAAACTTTTGACAGGAAGGTTCTGATAATTCTGGAGACAAGGAGTTACTTGCTGCATCTGTGGCATGTTCTTTTATTAAAATTTTAACTGATCATCTTGGTCTATGGCTCCACCGTTTTAATAGAAAAGTTTGAAATTAGTTTTCTAAAGACTGCACTGTATCTCAGATACCCAGCCTAACTCCCAGTGTATGGGGGTGCTTGTCAAATATTAGTATAGAATAGGTGAATTCATGTCTGAAATGTGATATTTGCCATTAATATGTTGTTGATTCCATCTCAAGAATAATATAGGCCAAACATGTTCAGTCAGCACATGAAGTTTGTTTTGAAAAGCACTTGTGAGCTGGTATGGGGGCAGGTACCTGATGTCCCAGCTACTTGGAAGGCCAGGACGGGAGCATCGCATGCACCTAGAGTTCAAGGCTGCAGTGACTTGTGATCGTGCCTGTGAATAGCCATTGTACTCTAGCCTGGGCAACAGAGCAAGACCCCATCTCTTAGGAGATACAAAAATTAACCAGTCATGGTGGCTTGTGACTGTAGTCCTAGCCACTCAGGAGACTGAGGTGGGAGTATTGCTTGAGCCCAGGAGTTCGAGGATGTGTTATGCTACAATTGTGCCCACTGCACTCCACCCTGGACAGCATGGTGAGGCTTGTCTTTAAAAATAAGTAAATAAGCCAGGCTCGGTGGCTCAGCCTGTAATCTCGTGCCTTTGGGAGGCTGAGGTGAGTGGATTGCCTGAGCCCGCAGGTTCGAGACCTGCCTGGGCAGGCGAGACCTCATCTCTACAATAAATCAAAAAATTAGCCGGGCATGGTAGCGCGCACCTGTAATTCCGGCTACTCGGAAGGCTGAGGCGGAAGGATCGCTGGAGCCCAGCAGGTCGAGGCTGCGGTGGCCGGAAGCAGCCACTGCACTCCAGTCTGGGTGACAGAGTGAGACTCCAACTCAAAAAAAAAAAATTATAAATAAATATAGATAAAACAATTGTGGTGATATAGCTTAATAGTAGTGTATTTGTACATTTCAAAATTGCTAAGAGAATAAATTTCAAATGCTCTCCCCGTGAAAAAATGGTATTTGAGGTGATGAATATATTAGTTCAATTATTCTACATTGTATTTCTAACTCATAACATCACTTTGTACTCTGTAAAAATTTTTAATTTTAAGCAGTTGACTAATTTTAAATAAGCAATTGTATACATCACTGATGCTCTTAGACCCTTATTTGGAAGCTTCCCATAAGTAACTTAAAAGTCCTCCAATCTCAAGCTACCCCTAGTGTCCCGGACAGCACCAATTATGAATCATGGTTTTAATGAGACTTCTTTCTGACCTGACTCGTACCTAACTTTGTTTTTCCTCTTCTCTCTTAATTCACAGAGCAGTAAGGAAGCCCTTTCTGAGGTGAATGCCACTGGAGTGGCCATGCTTTTCTCTGCTGGGACTTTTCTTTATGTCGCCACAGTACATGTCCTCCCTGAGGTGGGCGGAGCGGGGCACAGCCACAGGCCTGATAGTGCCGGGGGCAGAGGCCTTGGCCGCCTGGAGGTAGCTGCCCTGGTCATGGGCTGCCTGATCCCACTTGTCCTGTCGGTGGGACACCAGCACTAGACGTCCAGGTCCAGCTTCTACCCACATGATGACAGCCAGCAAGAACCACGGCATGGGACAGCCACTCACCCCTCTGTCTCTGTCTGCCTCGCCCATCTCCATGTGTACTCCCAGAGCCCAGAATGAGGGAGAGGAAGCCTGGAGTCTCGGAGCGCTTTTATAGTAGAAACAGCACACTGCGACTAGCCTAGACATTTCCTGTGTTGTCTCTTAAAGGGCCCTCGGTATTTTGAGTTTTGATGTTTCTCTTAACCCTATTCTCAGGGAAGATGAAATCTGACTTAAGGAAAAGTGGAGAACTCACACCCACAATGAAATAGTAATCACGAACATGCAGTGTTCTATAATCAGCCAAATCTCTTTCCCTTTTTTCAGAGGCTCTGCCCCTTCCTCTATGGACACTTGACATGGTTCTCACTGGTGAGACTGGTGCTTTGTGTGTGCTGCACGCCTTGAGGGAGGGAGGGCAGAGCCAGCTCTCAGACACTAAAGGAGGTGCAACTGATCTAGGACTTGAGTCAGGAAGATGGCAGCAAGACACACTGAAGCTGACTATACTCAAAAGCTCTGTCCTTGGCAAGGATAAGAGAGACTTGTACCCTCCTGGTGCACAACTTCTCTGGACACAGCATACAGGTCCATGTGGCAGAGCCCAAGGTGGGCCCATCTCTGAGGACGTGACTCTTGCTGTAGCATTTCTTGTCAAGATCCCCTTTGCAGAATCCCTACCTCCAACACATTCTCCAAGTGGAGCAAGATCCAGGAGGTTCAGGCCTGGTGTTCCTTCAGGGACCGTTGGATCTTTGGAAATTAAGGGATATTAGAGTTAAAGTGAACTTGGCTAGTTGTTGACATCTTTGTAGTAACCTTTTTAAAAGTAAGACTAGCAAAATTTCTGTGGTCCCTGTTTTTAAGTATTTCTCTCAGCAGGTCAGCAGTCCTTCTGGCTGAGCATGTGGGCAACTCGGGGACTGCGGTGTCTGCTCATGTGACCACCTAGAGCAGTGAAGTCAAGATGGACGCACTGGGAGGCATTTACCTGGTGATCACGGCTTGTTGAGATCATCTTTTGTCTTGGGTCTTTCCGTGCTTTTCTCCTAACTTTCCCTCCAGTCCCCTCTCCATAACTTGCTACTCGCTGTGGGTGTTAATGTCTGTGTGAGATGAATCCTTAGCAGGACAACCACTTGTCAAACTGCGATGGCGAAAATGACAGTGTCTTCATTTATGTCCCATTCAGAGAAGTTACCTTCCTATCGGAGGCAGCCTCGTTCCCTTAGAACATGGCCTCCTCAGATATGGTTGACTAATTTAAACAAGATAGCAAGAGTGTTCAACAGTCTAGGGGAATTTTTACATATTTGCCAAATATGTGTAAACCCTGTTTTGTCAAATAAGTGTATAATACTGTATTATTAATTTATTTTGATTTTCTGTTCCATTTCAAAACACATTACATTAAGGGGGAATCAAGACTAGTTTCTTCAGGGCAGTGGACTTGGTAGTTTGTAAAAACATCTTATGTTGTTGCATGAGCCAGGATGCCTGTAATTTCTGTTTCCTTCTAAAATTTGTCACTGGGTCAGCAGCTATGGAACTAAGCTCGGGAGACCCCTGCTGGCCGCAGCGAAGGAAGTAGCTTGAGCAGGATGCAGTCTTACAAATCCTGGCAGCCACTGCAGCTTTAAACCCAAGAGGAGGTGCCATGTGGAGAGTGGGAGACCCCTGACGATGATGCTGACTCAGGAGACTGGGATTTCCGTAGCCCTTCACTTTCCCAGGGTGCCAAGGCCATCTCCAGAAACGGACTCTGAGATAAGCAGCAGATGGTGGTGTCTGGTTTGCCTTGGATAGTAGGACTTTCTGTCATATCGGGTACAGTGGCCGCAGATCTGCTCTGCCGGCCACAGCCTCTTTCAGCAGTGCCTTGCCATCATGCTTAAACATTTGGCTAGAATGTCTTGCTGGACAGAGCTTTGAGCTCTGGCAAGGGTTGAGCTGTCTGACTTCCAAATTTGCCTTCCCCGCTGGGCCTCACTGTTGACAAGCAAACCTGTAGAGGCCCTGCTGGCTCTCAGAAGCCATTGGCTTTTCCAGATCTCAAAACTGCTGCCTCAGGAAGACCCCTGTCTCCTGACCAGCAGGCAGCGATAGCCATAATAATCTCACAGGGCTCAGATCATCTTAGGTAGCAGGGGGCCTGGCAGCACAGGGCCTCTGCACAGGAGGAGGAACTCGCTGCCACCATGGGCAATGCCTGGAGGACTGTGATGTGTCCACTAAAGGTACACTGCGGTTCTGTGTTCCTGTTTAAAACTGCCTCTTTAGATGTGGATGCCTTAATGCTCTAGCACACTCGACAGCATTGGCAATACGTGTGTTGCTGCCATGATTGCAGATGGAGTCACTGGCAACCAAAGAGACACAGTTGGCGAGGGCATGATCCTTCCTTCCACGTGACCAAAGCTCATTGCAGTTCGACTCCCTTTCCCTGGTAGGGAGAGACTTTCTTCAGATTCCAAGTGTTCTCTTAGCCGGCACATTAGGTTGAACAGTGCTATTGACCCAACCCCTCACTCCTCTCCAGCCATGGCCGATCAGTGATGTCCCAGCTGTCTTGCTTTTCTTGTGCACACTGGTGCCACATTTCTTTTTCAGGCAAGGGTTCTGCGCTTGAGTGTACGGTGGTCTTGCCTGTGAAGGCTCCGTGTTCTCCCCCTCCCCTGTTTATTTCCCAGTATGGAACAGCCCAGTCGGCCTGTTCCGGGATCTGGAATTCTTAGCAAAGAGAGCTGCTGTTTTGAGTTGTCTTTTCTTTGTAGAAGGGAGAAAGTGTGCTTGCGTGCTTTCCCAACCTCCTCCTGTGTCACCGCCTGGGTTTCCTCTTGTTTAAGAGTTAGGACCAGAAGGACACACCAGCATCAGGCATATAGAGCCCCAACATGGGAGCTTGGCTGCCAGCAGCACCAACCTCCAGGAACGCTCCTGCCTTCACATCCTGGGGTCTTGGAGACTAGGAAGAATGGCCAGGTTCAGCCAAGTGCTGCAGTGCTAGGCGAGACCTCTCTGTGGTTATTCTAGGAGAACCTCCCCTGCATTAGAACATTTCTACTCATGCAGAATGTCCATGGCACTCGAAGAGCACTGTTGCAGATGCTGTGAAGTTCAGCTGAGACATCTACAGTTTCCCTGGGTGATGGAAGAAAGTGTGTGGCTTGTGGGCAGAAATAGCCGACCCTGTGGGAATTCTAGATATGTCAGTGTGACACAGTGGCTTAACACAGGGATACTGACTTTGGTCTTTCTCTGGTGGCATCTTCCAGCATGTTGGGAGCCTCGTGGAATAGCACTGCAGTTCTCTGGCTCAGTGGCTGGAACCCTGATATTAAATGTCCCCTTTTCTGGGTCACTTGTAAACATGAAATCATTCCATGGACAGCTGCCTTATAATTTTGTCTCTTTCCACTTTAATTGTGAACAGTTTAATTAAATGCTGTTTCTGATTTGTTTTATGATATTAAATTTTTATTAGTGCATACCTTACAGGAGTGCTCATTCCGTATCTGCTGGCATTATGTTCTGCTTGATGACCAGACTTGACACGCAGTTCAACATCAGAAGAGGGAAAGAGGCTGTGAAGGCCCATGGAAAAGGGCTTACCTACCACATGCACATCCTCTAAGGAAGGGAGGAAGAGGAAACTGAGGACTCGGCCAGCTGTCTCAAAAGACACAAGTTCACTGGCAATTGCTTCACCTTCCCATTGACAGCCAGTGCTACTTACAAAGGCAGCTCCTACTCCACAAAGAGAGAAACTGTCAGCCAGTCCCAGTCACAGTGACCTCATTTCAAAGGGCAGAGTTGTTCTAGGGGACAGAGGCTGTGACAGCTGCCCTGGAGGAAAGGGAGATGTCAACAGAAGTGCAGCATTTGGACTCAATCAGGGTTTCCTCCTGTGGGGCCGTCAGTACCAGGGCTTGTTTTTAGCTTCAATACCAATGTGTGCTAGATGTCGCAGGGTGTCACTGGGACATGCAGTCTGTGTGTTTGGTCACCAGATTTCTTTACTTATTGTGGCCTACTTGGTGCTGGTTTCTGTATACATTCCTTATAGTACAGCCAGCCAGTTATAGAGATTGTGCCCTGAGTGCCATGTTTTCCAAAAACATCTCATACAGAACAAAACCTTCGAAGAGAGCGTGCTATGTGGGGCTTCTGCCACCTCTGCAGCCTGTGGGTGGAAAGCACATCCCTCCTCTGCCTTGACGAGGACTTTGAAATCAAGGTAAAATCGGGCTCGGTGGCTCAGCCTGTAATCCCGCGCTGAGGCTGAGGCGAGTGGATTGCCTGAGCCTGCAGGTTCATGACCCGTCTGGGCAACTTGATGAGATCTCATCTCTACAATAAATCAAAAAATTAGCTGGGTGTGGTAGCGTGCACCTGTAATTCTAGCTACTTGGAAGGCTGAGGCGGAAGGATCGCCGGAGCCCAGCAGGTCGAGGCTGCGGTGGCCGGGAGCGGTCACTACACTCCAGTCTGGGCGACAGAGTGAGACTACATCTCAAAAAAAAAAAAAAAGAAAGAAAGAAATCAATGGAAGTCGGCGTTGTGCCCTCTCACACCCAGCCGCCCTCAGAACCACACACAAATTAGCTCACAATCCTTATTCTTGTTTGGACTTTTGTTTTTGTTTTTTCACTATGATCTGTTTTGTTTTGTTTTTTTAGTTGGAGTCTCACTCTGTCACCTAGGCTGGAGTGCGGTGGCTCACGGCCATCACAGCCTCAACCTGCTAGGTTCAGATGATCCTTCCACCTCAGCCTTCCAAGTAGCTGGAACTACAAATGTGAGCCACCACACTCAGCTAATTTTTTGATTTATTGTGGAGATGAAGGCTCACCGATTGCCCAGGCTGGTCTTGAACCTGTGGGCTCAGGCAGTCCTCTCACCTTGGCCTCCCAAAGTGCTGGGATTATGTGCGTGAGCCACCTCACCCAGCCATGATCTGTTTTTTAAATGTGGGTGCTGGCTACAAGGTTACAGCAGGTGAAAAATTCATCAAACAATACATAGGCTTTGTGCTTTTTCCTTTATGTTATAGTTCAAAAAACGTCTTTAAAAGTCTGTCATAAAAAGTGAGGGCTCTATTCTAAAGTAAGAGCATCTGAGAGACATGTCATCACATGCAGTGTATGAGCTTGGAGTTGAGACTAGGGCAGAAATGTAAAAGCTCAGAGAATATGTTGGAGATGACAGTTGACAATTCTGTGGATATTTGAAAGCCAAATTGTACACTTTAAAAATTGGAACCAAGTGAGGCACATCTGGATATGGGACTTGTGAACATTCCTGATATAATTAAATTGCTGTTGATTTTCTTAGGCAAGATAATGGCATTTAAAAAGAGCAAGGTAAGGAAGAATCGGGACTGCTGGGTTGAAGTTGTAACTAGGACCAGATACTGACCTGCCAGACTAAAGTTTAAGGGCACCTTCTTCCAGGTGATCCCTCACTTCACCAGCTGCACATTCAGGGGTTCCCAGGCCACCCTCACTTCTGCAAGCTGGCTACACATTTGGAGTTTCTTACAACCTCTTTCTGGTTTGATCATTTTCTACAACGATTCAGGAAAGCACTGTTACAATTACAGTTTTATTATAGCAAAAGGATAGAGATCAGAAACAGACAAAAGGAGAGACACCTAGTGCAAAGGCTGGGAGAGTTCCAAATGCAAAGCTTCCATCATCCTCAGGGACACATGACCCTCCCGACTTCGAGTGTGACCATAGGCTACCAGGGCATCTCTCCTGAGTTTTGGTATCCAGAGATTCTATTGAGACTTCATTATTTAAGCATGATTGACTGACTCGTTGGGCATGTGGTTGAACTCAGCCTCTAGCCCCCTTCTCCTTCCTGAAGGTCAGGCTGGCATCAGGTAACTCAAAGCCCCAACTCTAATCGCATGGTTGGTCTTCCTGGTGTGGCCAGCCCCCATCCTGAGTTATCTAGTTAGCATACACCAGGGGTTCCCTGAGTCACCTTGTTAGCATCAGCTATTAAGTGTGGTCCTCAGGGCCCACCATGAATAACCAATACTCCTATCACTCACTTCCCGGAAACCAAAGACAAAGGCCAATCAAATATCCTATTACACAGATGGCCATAGGAGGACACTTGAAAGTGAAACCTGAGCCAAGACTGGAGAGGTAAGTTGGGTAAGTAGATGCCTGGGAGGAGGGCATTCCTGGCAGTCCATGAGATCTGGAGTAGTCCTTCAGGTAGAACTTGCTTGGCTTGTTCAAGACAAAGCAGGAAGGTGAGTGTGGCTGGATGGAGTGAGGAAGGAGCAGCTTGGAGCGAAGGCACGTGAACGCACGTGAACGCATCGGTCAACTGGCAGTCACAGGGTCAGCCCTGACGCACAGCAGGGTAAAAGGGAAAGCCCAAATAAGAAGCAAAATCTTGAG